TGCATGAGAATTTATGAGCATATAGTAACCTATTTGTATCATTAGGACTAATTTTAATTTTTCTTACCCTACTGCCTTGTTGGGACCCGATTCTACGCGGCTTTTTGGAGATGCAGATGAGACAATTGTCATGGCTTTGTTTGGCGGGGCGGCTAATAATCATCTGATATTCGGAACTCATTAACACATAAATTTGTGCCACGTGTGTACCCATTAAAGGAAAACATGTTTTCTATCCGGAGCTTTTTTAATTTCCGAGGCTCAAAGCTAAAACCTCTCGTTAAATGTAGATGTAAAACAAAAATAAAAAATAAAGAGCGAATAATTTAACAAATTTGAATTCTTAAAAGTTGAGAAGGTTGTATAGCGATTAAATAATGTCATTCATTTTGTAATGAAGCAAGATGGAAAGATTGTCATAGAATAAAAACGGGGGGAATACTATTTTTTCAATAAAACAACATATAAATAATGAAATATATGCGCCCTAAGTTTACAGTTGTATATATAAAAAGCACAATTAAATACGAACTAACCAATTCCTCAAAAAGAAAATCTTATTATTTAATAATTAGAATATTATTTTTACCCTTCTTGCAACTCCTAATTGTTTGTTATAAGTTACAGTTAAGTTGTCTACACCGACCATATGTTAAGCTCTTTGAGAGTTGAAATCATTTCTTATCTCATCTGTCTCATACTATAAAAAGAAAACCTATTATTCCATAAAATGAAATAAAATAAAATAAATTTTTATCTGTCACTAAAAAAGAAGAAAAATAATTACGTCTCCATAAGGAATCTCATTAAATAGGTCTTTCGGGTCATCTTTTAAGTACCGGCAAAGTTGTATTTGTTAAGACTGAAAAAAATCAGGTGTCCGAAACTAGTAACGCAAATCTTAACAATGATAAATCTGATAATAAATGAGAAATATACCAAAAGAGACATAAATATATAACGTGGTTCGGTCAACTGACTTACATTCACGGCAGAGATAACTTTCAACTAAATATATATAGTTGAAAGTCTATTTTATAGATACATTGACGGTGCACGAAACTTAAACCCTTTCTATTATCTACCGCACAAATGCACATGGCCACCAAAAATAGCGGTCCCCATAATGCTTCCTTTTGTATATTTCTGTGTTCTTCCTGCCATCCATTAAAAAAAAATGCTCTCGTTATACATTTGGTCCATCCATGTTATTGTTGACTAACGATTCAATTTTTATTTGGCCCATCCACGCCACTGTCGTTAGTCAATAATGGCATGGATGGGCCAAATGTATAACGACAGTAGCATGAAATGAGCATTTTTTTAACGGATGGCATGAATAAACCATTTCTAAAAGTTGAGTGATATTTTTAGGTTTTTTTCGTTCTTTTTATAATTATTTTATTATTTTCGAAAGTATTTAAGGAGGAAAAGCCTACAGGCAAAGATAATTATGTCAGTCCGCCAAAATATTTTAACATTTTTCACATATCTATAGTTATTTTTTGGGTCAGTTTTTTTTTCGGTCACGTATCTATAGTTTCGGAAACAGCCTATCTACGGAAGAAATTCAAAAATAGCCAGATTTATAATTGGTCATTCAAAAATAGCCACAGTTTCAAAAGTAATCGAAATTTAACCACTTTTTATGTAAAGATAAATCTGAACGAAACACTGTTCAAACTCCAAAAAATAATCCAGCATAATATACTGGAGTTCCAGCATAAGTATACTGGAACTCCAGCATAAATACTAGAGTTCCAGCATAATATACTGGAGTTCCAGCATAAGTATACTGGAACTCCAGCATATTATAATGAAGTTCCAGCATAAGTATACTGGAACTCCAGCATAAATACTAGAGTTCCAGCATAATATACTGGAGTTCCAGCATAAGTATACTGGAACTCCAGCATAAATACTAGAGTTCCAGCATAATATACCGGTCCAACATAATATGCTGGAAGTTTATACAAAGATGCACCGATCTCTAGTATATTATGCTGGACCGATCCCTGTTGCAGTAAAATAATGACTATTTTTCAATGACTTTGCAAACGCTGGCTATTTTTGATTGACCAGTCCGAAAACTGGCTAGCACGTGTTATTTTTACCCTATCTACCTCCACAAGGTAGGGGTAAGGTCTGATTACATATTATCCTCTTCATACCCCACAATATGAGAATATGCTGGGTATGTTATTGTTGATGTAGTCACGTATCTATAATAACTTAATTAACTATCGGATTTAAGTAGAAGCAAATAAGTGTATTTCGAAAATGAAATTAATAATTTTGTTCACGGAGGAATTGCAGAAACTCGATCGGCGAATATATATGTGTATATATATATATATATATATATATATATATATATATGAATGTACCAAAAATAGCTAGCAATACTCCTATTTATAATAGTAAAAAACTAATTTTGACAAGAACTCGGAAAGTCTATTCCTATAAGAATTTGATTATAAATCTTAATTAAACACGTACTAAACAAATATCAAAATCATAAATAAAGTTTAGACATGAATTCATCACTAGCTCAAACGTAACCAGCCACTTATATATACCGAAGGCCTTATGAATCTAAAAGATTCTCATCATTACTATTCAATAATCAGGATCGTAGTATAAAAGTCGATTTACTTAATGCATGTAGGGATTTATAAAGAAGTAATTTTACTTTTAGATAGAGGGTAATTTGGTCATTTGGTAATTAAAGGATATTTTAGTAAATTAACATTACACTTAGGCGTTCACACTTATAATATAGTATGGGTGACTTTTCTTCTTTGAAGCATTCAGAGAAAATCAAGATTGGCTTAGTCGGATCTTGCCGGGCAATTGCCTTTTTTCCACAAGAGATTGCTCTCTTCCGCTTTTTCATTTCTTTTTTTTTTTCTTTTTTCTGGGAGTCTAATATGAGATGTATAACGTGCTCATACTCATCCATTAGGATGTTCCCCCTTCAAGAGCTCCGCTATATATATATATATATATAACTACAAGAAAAGTGCAAATTACCTGGAGATTTTACCTGGGGATTTTTTCCGCAGACATTTCCTACGACTTTTCATGCGAAAATATGAAATTCCTAATTTTAGAATATTTCACTTGCGAATTTTTTTTTCCCCGGGAAAATCCCTAGGTAAATTTGGCGACATTATGCGCAAAAATTTACTTGGGGAATTATTTGAAAAATTAATCTGCAAGTATTGTTTTTATAGGTAAATCTGCAAGTAATGAACAAAAATAAATTCCTTTGTCACTTCGCAAGAAAATCCCTAGGTAAATTTACCTGCGGATTTAGCTAGGAATACTTACTTGGGTATTTACCTAGGGATATATTTACCTATGATATTACTTGGGGATTTTTATTATGTGAATTTAGCTGGGAATTTATTTTTTAAGGATTTTTTTACTTGGAGAATTACCTGGGTATTTTATTATTCCGGATTTACTTGAGAACTCTTTTTTTGGAGGATTTATGTGGAGATTATGCTGGAAATAAATTTTTAAAAATATATTGAAGAAATTAAAATTATAATAATTAGAAAATGCTACTGATATCACAAGTGAATGTTATTTTTAAACATTTAGTTCCTTTATCGAGTCAAATAAATTATTATGCAATAATCTCACTCTAAAAAGGTGTTGAAAAGAAAAGGGATTAAAGCAACAATATTGATAGAATTGTTAATAAAATTATCATATTTAGTTAATTTATTTATTGTTGGCAATGTCATACATCTTTTCTAAAGATAAATGCAGTTAGAACTTAATCTCATACAAGGATTATAGATGTAATTTTTTTGGATTGAATATTACAAAAGAATGACACCAGTTACTAATTGAATAATAAATTAATTATCCTAAATACAACTATTGTTGAGCTAATATCAGTAGAAAATATATTTAATTTGGTGTTGTTGAATAATTTTAAGTATAACTTTTTAGTAGAAAAAATATTTAGCTACAGTTATCATTGTATGAAGTTATAATATTATTGAAGTAGCTAAATCTTTTGTTCGCGTTATAATTGGCAAAATATTTTTTATCAATTGCTTAATTATATAAAATGTGTTTAATTCTTGTTTAGAAATATTATTACATAAAGATTTTATTCAAGGTATATAAATGTTTCATTATCAGTTTTTGTTCTTATTTAAGACTTCTAATTTTCAAAATTGTATTCTTGTTCTTTTTCTTGAAAGAAAAAAATACAGTTTTGAACAGTCAATAAATTTTTAAAGAAACAATCATAATTCAATCCACCCGGCTATACTTGAATAAAAATTTTGTTTTGTGAATTTTGGAATTCATACTCACGATATCTTTCTTTAAAAAAAAAATGAAAAAATATATATAAGTTTCATCTTGATTTAGTGAATTGAAAAATTATGAAAGAAATGGCTTAGGTTTCTCCCACACCAGATAGAGACAATAAGATATGAGCATTCGATTTATCAAGAAGCATTCGATTTTCCAGAAGTTTGAACAACAAAATTAATCATATAATACTTTCACTAAATAAATATAAATAATAGTAGTCAACGAAGGAATTAAATTAAATATAACAATAAAAATAATTAAGGGATCTTTTCGCAAACATTTTCCAAAAATTCCTTACGAATTTAATTGCGGATTTTCATAGGGGAAAATCTACAGGAAATTCCTTTTTCTCATAAATTTTTACCAAAAGTTTCTTGCGGATATTTAGTTTTTCTTGCAACAAAATCCGTAGGTAATTTACACACGGATTCAAAATTCCCAGGTAAGTTACATGGGGATTTTAAAATCCGCAGATAATAGTTACCTACGAAGGTTTTTCCATCGGAATTTTTTTCGTACAAAAATCTGTAGAAAACTGAATTACCTGCGAATTTTTCTGAATAATCCCTAAGAAAATCCCCATGTAATTCGTTATTTTCTTGTAGTATATATGTATGTATGTTTCATCCTAAGTCCTAACTTCATGAAGAAGAGGAATGTTGGAACAACAGTAAAGTTGTTTTCAAGTAACGGTAAAGTTATCTTGAACACCGGTAAAATTATTCGAGCTTTTGAATCACCTATTTATACTTACAGTATGATAGCCTACCTACATCACTCATCTTGAGGTGCAATCCTTTCCCGAACCCTACGTGAATGCGAAATGCTTTGTTCTCCGGAAGCACAGAAAAGAAAGAGCTATATTAAGAAATGATTGTTAATTATCTGTAAGATTTGAGAATGGCACCACAGAAACTACAGACAATAGCCTTCCAAGACTTGAAGTAAAAGGGGATATAACAAAATCTGGTGGCAGTGCGCATATCAGCAACTTTAGCACCATGGCCGCACCTCGAACACGAGCCAGCCACCGGTTTACTCCGCTTCATCATCCTCTTCTGGTCTACTAGAAAGCAAAAACATACCATTATTTACGTTTAAAGGTCAGCTTCGATTCTCCCCCCGACAATCAAGCTGCACTTTCTTCTAAACAAGTGGCTGAGAGTTAGCAAGCAACCTTGGCCGGCCTAGTTAAAGGTCAGCTTCGATTCTAGGTAAAGATCCGCCCGTTCCTATTCCATCCGTTCAACATTCTATCAAAGTATTCTCCCCTAGCCGTACTTCAACCAGCTGCTTTTTTGCTATATACAAAATATCAAATGAAAGAAAAAAATATTCAGAAAGCTTTTTGTTGGTTTTCCTTGGCCAAATATCAAAGGAGTTTGTTGGAGTCACCTTGGATATTCCAAATAAAGTGGTCTCTTATAGGATATATATATAGAGAGAGAGTTAAATTTTAGAGTCATGGGCGAAGCTACATATTGTAAAGGGTGGTCAGTTAATTACACTGCGTATATAGGTAAAATATTATATTTTAGAGGTATATAATATATATTGAACACTCTTTCTCGGAGATTTTTTTCACTTCTTTCAAGTTTGAACACCCTTGAGTAAATTCCTGGTTTCACCACTGTTTAGAATAATATATTTTTTTTATACTATCAAGTTCAGACAACGTAAATAACTGATAATTGAATATAAGTAATAATTTTGATTTGATGACCTAAAAAATTGTAGAAAATAATTTGCTGTAATTAATTAAAAATATTATTAACGTAAAAGTTCTTTGCACTACTAAGGTATATATAGATCAAATCTATAATATATTACTTCTTTTATTTTAAATTATGTAATGATGTTTGATTGGCCGAACATTTTTTTTTTAAAAAAAATCGAACTTGTAATATTAAACATACTTTTATAAGCAATAAATGCATGCCATTTAAGGTAAATTAAAAAATTTAAAGTTTTAATTATTCCAAATTATAAAAAGGAATTCATTAAATTAAAGTAGCTAGTGCCACATAAAATAAAATGAGTGTCACATATGGATATCTCTCTTCTTCTTCTTGAGACGAGGGTCTATCAGAAATAGCCTCTCTATCTCTCGGGGTAGGAGTAAGACCTGCGTATACACTATCCTCCTCAGATTCTACTAGTAGAATTACACTCGGTCGTTATTGTTATTGTCATGTATAAATATGATTCTTTTACTTTAATTATAGATCTCAATTGTGAGCCTTGAGTATGAAAAAATTTCTAATAGGACGTATTTTTTCATTTAATTGGCCATACACGATGTGCATCTAGATTAACTAGCACCCATAAACGAGTATCAGATATCGAGTAGGAAAAAAAAAAAAAAG